GGCCACACTTTTTCTTTTAGTTAAATTGGATTTCGATAAAAACATATTGGTAGTTGTTTAAATTTTGATTTATTTTGGTAAATAATATTTGTTTTTAATTTATTTTTATTTTATATATAAATGCGAAAAAGCCCATAAAGCCCTGTAGCCCTGTTCGGGCCGGGCCGGACCGGGCTTATATATAGGCTGATTTTATGGGTTTTGGGCCGGACCGGGCCAGACTAGCTCGTTTGACATGCCTAGAGTAAACAAACATCAAATGATTACACACAAAACATTAGTGAATAAAACCTATAAAGAGTATAAATTGGTCATCGACATCAAATATGATATTGAAAACAATGTCTTTTCAAATCCTCTATATATTAATTAAGGAGATATTTGGTGAAAATTTTATATGTGTCACTCAATGAAGGTTTTAAATGAGATTTCATTTAAATTAACCAATTAGAACATTTCAATTAAAACTATATGTCATGGAGGAAATCTCTATATATTTTTATTAATTTTAGGGATATTAAATAAACCCATTAATACATATTTTACAAATCTAAAACCAAATTAGATGTAATATTTAGACTTACCATATCATCTATTTTTTATATATATTAAAAAGCTTTTTATTATTATATTATTGCAACAATATTATTTATTGTGTATATATGTATTTAGATTAGTAAGAATACCCTTTAAACAATAGTATTTAGATTAGTATATTACACAAATATTTTAATTATGATGTAATGTGTTATACATTTATAACTCACTTATAAATATTTATACATTTCATTATTTATTTTTGTTTGTTATGTACGACAAATTCATATAAAAGTAAAATTTATCTGATTTATCATATACTTTGTAATTTAAATGAATAATAAAAATCAATTTTACACTTGAAATACATTGAAATAAATAGCATTTGCAAAGTTTTTGATCAATTTTGCACATAAAAATATTAAAACTAATGACAACAAAATATGTTTGATCAAAATTTAACTTTATTACATTTATGCACAATACATATCATTTTTGTACATTTATAAATACTAAAAATTAGCCTATCAGGACCAAAATATCATTATATTTGCGAGTCCTAGATAGAGTA